AGATTTTAATGTACAGTAGTTCAGGTGGGTAGCTGCGTCAGCATGCGTATCCTGCAAATGAACAAGTAATAGGTTTATTCCATGCTGAAAAGAGAAGAGAGAAAACACGTTTCGGCTGTGGAGCCTGCTTCGGGTGTGAAGAAGGCTCCACAGCCGAAACGTCGTGTTTCCTTTTCTGTGTAGTAGCCACACAGTAACGTCAATGACAATCACCACGGAAGATTCCTTTATAACGCTTCTGCGCCACTAGATGGAGACAATGATTAAAATACCGCACTTCTTCCCTGTTTAGTCTCGTACTCAAGGTCAATGGTCATTCCCGCCGGCTGGACTGCAATTAAGCACCAACATCACAAGGTGGCATGACACAATATGACAAGAAAAACGTTTTGTTTTTGTTAGACTTAGGCTCGCTCTTTAATGTACCTGTCGTCACGGCCACCCTTCAAAGTGATGACGGACGAAAATATAAAATCCGAAAGGAGTCAGAAAGGAGACAAACGGAAAGGCACACATTATTAAAATAATGCTTGTAAAAAAAAAAAGGAAACGTAACTCGCGAACGAATTTGTGCAAGATGTATGCAAATGAATGAACCTTATTTAAAATCTGCGCCCAGCTATAGGGAATCCCTGAGGGAGCTCTCCCACAGAAAATGGGAAATCCCCTCTTCCCGCTGGCACTATACTACTCAGAACACCCAAGTCTCCAAACATTAATCTGCAAGAGAAAGTCAATGTCGGAATACAAGAGGCAAACTGCAGCAATGCTGGAAACGCACCGAAGCAGCATGGACATCAGGCGGTGGTCCAGCAGGGTTTAAGCTTGGAAGTTTAATTTAAAAAAAAAAACTTGGCTCGTGAACTTGAGACGCGGTGATGTTTTCTGGGATGTTCGCGACAGAAGCAAGATCCCAGCATCCTTGTGCTAGTCTGGATTAACTCTGAGACTCGGCAAAAAACAAACAACAACAACACTGTTATTTCACCTCACAGGAGAGCAGGTAGGTTATCGCGTCTTCCGTAATAATGTCTTCCAGGTGCAATGACTGATGTGCAAATGTTCTGATCAGTTTCGTTGAGAACATCCAATGGAAATGCGCTGCTTTCCGCTAAGCAAACTGATGACCCCTTCTGGTGTTCCTAAAAGACTCGTATATCTGACAAAGAAAATATTAATGTATTTTTAAAATCTTGGTAATAAGAAATTATAATAATAGACACTTGCCTAAGAATAATCACAGTGGCATCTTTAAATTCACGCCTTATATTATGTAGGTTAACCTATAACACTCAATAAT